ATATATATTCATATGTATATATATGTATGTGCTATATATGTATATGTTTAAAATGAAGATGCCCCTCCAACCCGTGCATAGAAACCTTCGCGTACGGGAATCCATCTGCACTCATGATTATATACATATATATATATAGACAGAACTAGCTAACGACAGCAACATGCACACGTCTATAGTCAACCAGATCAACCAAAGTGACTCTGTTTGCATGTGTATTATACAGGGTAAGTATGTACTGTCTGCAAAACACTGAAGACTAAGCTAAACTTAGTTTCTTTCACCCCTTGCCTATTTTGTAGATATATGTGTATATATAACTACATATAGATACTTCTTAATCAGCCTATCATAGGCAAGAAGCTAAGCTAACGAAGGCCTGAAACCGCAAAATGAAGCCCGCACCCTGCTTCGCTGAGACTTAAAAATTCAAGCAGGGGGAATACCAAGCTCTTCCTTCAGAAACTTCCTGGCAGCCTTCTTGGCCAGCTTCACGAAATCAGTGTTCTCGTTCTGTTCGACATGGTGCCACTGAGCCATACAGTAGGTCCAGAAGGGATCCTGGGGCAAGGCCCTTATTGGGGTATATCTCAGCTACTTCGAATCTAATTCAGGCTCGAAAACACAAGCCTACATGCAACAGCATACCATTGGAACTGAATGTGTATGACACATGCATGCATGCACTCAGCATATAAGTCCTCGGACTTGGAAGGGAACTCAGGCAATCGGTCTCGAACAATACCATCGAAGGCATCACGAATCGCGATGAAGCGAGCCTTGTTCATGGCCTGCTTTGGCTGTCGCCTCCGAGCAAACGTCTTCGGCACCTCCTCCTCTTCGTTGTCTTCATCATCCTTTGGCGCTCTCATCTGTGGCTTTTGTTTCTTGGATCCGGACTTGACATCCTTCGTTTCATCCACAGCCTCAGCCGGAGCCTTGGCCTGCTTTTGGCTCTTGCCCTTGCCAGAGCTCTTACCACCTCTCCCGGCTTTGCTAGCAACGGGCTCATCACCATCCACAGCACCACCCCGTCCTTGGCGACCCCGTCCTCGGCCACGTCCTCGGCCCCGTCCACGGCCGGGGGCCACATTTGCAGTGGTCTCAGGCTCTACCTCGGGGGATGGTGATGAGGTTGGGCGTGGCACATCCTCAGCCTCAAAATAGACTGTGGCATTGTCAGGCTCCTCATCAGCCGGTGACTTGCGCTTCTTGTTCCCACCGTCGGCGTCCTTCTTAGCCCCGGCTTTAGCCTTGGGCCTGCCCTTGGCCTTCGGCTTCGTGTCGACTGCCCCAACCCCGGCCTCAGAGGCAGATGGCTCCCCAGCACCACCCTCCGGCTCCATCTGTTCTTCCTTCTCATCATGCTTTGCCCTCTTCGGTGAGGCCAGAGAACAAGCAGCCGGACGCTTGAGGATCTTTGGCCCATTCTTCTGCTTCTCCTTCTTGCCACCCTTTTTCCCACTAGCTGCATCCTCACAATCCGCCGCCTCAGCGGCGATGTTCTGCCGAACAGCAAGCTGCCCACGGCGAGAAACCTGATACAACAACACACGAGTTTTGTGTTTTGCATGACGATCTAGACATGTGACACAACTTCAACAGTCACACCCTCATGTCATTTCAGGCAAGGAACAAAGTCTGGTGGATTGAACCCATACTCGTCTGAAAGCTGCTCGGCACTCTTCCAAAGCATGGCAACCCCATCCATGGTCGGTCCATCAACGAGCTGGGTTTCATCATCATCGCGAGCTGCAGCTCGAGGGGTGGGAACTGTTGCAGCACCTTTCTTCAGAGTGCACAACTTACAACTTTAACATATATTACATACAAACCTCAGAATAACTTGTCTTCAACCAACACAGTTACATGATACATATATATATATATAAGTACACTAGCTATCTATCTTTCTATATATAGGTATACATAGATGGATAGGTAGACAGATCCATATATCACACATACAGTAACACGGCTACTCACGACTCTATCTCATTGTACATCAATGTAATATGAGTATCTGAATTACATTGTTTGGCGAAGCCCCACCTGGCTTGTCACATGGGACCACATTGGGCTTGTCACTGGGAGCTGGGACCTCACTGGACTTGTCATCCACATCTTGGACCTCATTGGGCTTGTCACTGGGAGCTGGGACCTCACTGGACTTGTCATACACATCTTGGACCTCATTGGGCTTGTCATTGGGAGCTGGGACCTCACTGGACCTATCATCCACATCTTGGACCTCATCGGGCTTGTCATGGGGAGCTGGGACCTCACCGGGCTTGTCATCGGGAGCTGTGACCTCACTGGGCAGCTTGTCACCAGAAGCCCCACTGGATCGGGAATCCTCAGCAGCCTTCTCTCCGGAGGCCTTGACTCTGGCACCCTTCAGCAAATGGCTCCTGCACACAATCACAACTTGACAGCAGCACTGGGAAACCTAAATCGGGACTGCCATCAGCATATTAAACATGCAAGATTAGAAGCCAATATGAAGTTCAACTCGGGGCCTCTTTCTCGCTGCTTGCACACTCTTCAAGGTAGCGATCGTCTGCTTCAGCTGGCGAAGCCGCATACAGTGACATTTGGATAACTTTCGATCACACGCATCACATGACAGCTCCTCCATTTCATCCACATCCATGACATCATTGTCGAAATGTTGCTGCTTGCCTTTGCGAAGTGATCGCCCGGAACCCTCCGGAGCCGGTGGTGGCGGATCAGCAACATCTTCGGATGCCACCTCCGCAGGATTGGAAGGCCTTGCGACCTCCTCGGCCTCACCCGTGTTGGCCACATCAAGAATCTCGCAGTCGTCATCCACCTGCGTATCCACCTGTGTCTCAGCGAAGGCACTCTCATCCTTATCAGGATTTTCCTTGTCCTCACCATCGGACAACAGCTCGATATCGCTGTCGTGCACGGATGTTTCATCTTCCGTGGAACCTGGCCATCAGTGATCTACAAGCAGAACACACAGCAATGAATGCATGACAGCACACATCTGATGAGAAGCTGTTTTCAATCATTCCCAGTCATGCCTGCGTCCCCTGCATCAGACTCTCCAGCATCATCATCATCATCTCCATCCTGCGGGCGGGATCCAAGCAACCAAAACAAGCCACCACGCACAAACAAGGAGTCTCTATATACACGTGACAGCAAAAGATCTATCCTGGCCGGGGATGAACTGCAACAGGTACTGGAACGCGTCATTCCGTGGAACTTGGCCACGCTGCCTCTTCCTCTTGAGGAGGACCACAAACTTCTTGCAGAGCCAGGCTTCTGCTTTCACTTGTTTCGGCTCCGTTTGCACTTTGCAAAGCCGGTACAGCTTCGCAAGCCTCGGTTACCATCGAGTTATAAGTATTGTGATATATGCGTGACTTCAGCACCGAACATGCAGTCTGCAATTGATTATACAATCCCAGTCACTCAGCCTCCGTTTGGAAGACAGAGCACACCTGGATCTTGCCAGCAGCATTTCGTGGCCACGTCAAGATAGCCTTGATCAACGGCTCAAGCACATCCTGATATTTCCCGCACTGTTTGACATTGGCGTGCGGGAGTCCATCGGTCCGATCGAAAATAGATCCGACCCTCCGAACACGTGCCCGGACTGAGGACACTTGCTCCCACATCTCCGCAAGCCCGCGCAACGAAGGCATCTTGAGCAATACCTACGTATGAAGCCCGTTCGAGAGCACTGCAAAGCCAAAAGTTCTAATCCATGAGCACGCAAAAGTCAACATTCATCAGTCTTGCTTGGCTGCATGATGACAAATAGCATGCATGCTCAACTCTTCATATGAGTGCCCGGCCAGCTGAACCGTCCCCAAAGGCCCAGCAGAGGCTCCAATGAGCCCAAACGAAAGCTCTGGAAAGAGCGTTCTTTCCAAGGCACAGCTCAAAACATCCTACTTGTGGCCCTTTCTCATCACTCAGAATCTGCATCCTGGAAAATGTAGGTCTCTATGAAAATACGCACCTTTGGGTGTAAAACCTAACTTTCGGATCAAGATCTAGGTTATTCTGGAAGACCCACAAAAGGGTAGGCCTTTCAGGCTACAGGTAGGGTTTAGGGCTTAAGGAGTTTAGCGGTTTAGGGTTTAGGGTCTAGGGGTTTAGGGCTTAAGGTTTATCGGTTTAGGGGTTTAGGGTTTGGGGACAGCTAGTACTTGGGCTTGGGGCCGGGCAGGGTTCAGGGTTTTTGGGTTTTGGGGATCATGGTTTGGAGGCAGCACAGCTAATACCTGGGTCTGTGGTCATTTAGGGTTCAGGGTTTCTGGGTTTAGGGTTTAGGGTTTGGGAGGCAGGGCAGCTTAAAGTTTCCGGGTTCTGGGGAAATATGGGTGTTAGTTAGTATGGCAGCTTAGTGCCGTTTAGGGTTTAGGGGCTTCGGGTTTCTGGGTTTGGGATTATGGCAATATCATTCCTTTTTACGGACTCATATGTGGTAGTCATAAAAAGGAATCCTATAAAGGTAGGTTATTCTTTAGGGTCCAGGTATCGTCTCAACAGTATTAGGGTAGGACCGCCTGCAACATCACGGACAGTCGCAAACTCCGCACGCGCTGCGGTATCCAGTAATTATCCAACACTGAGCTGGCGGCACAGATGCCCTGACGCAGAGAGTCAGTCAGGCGGCTAACTCTACGGGTCCATGTACCCAAATAGTATATACGTCGGGCCCAATGTATCTATATTTAGTTCTTTAAGTTCAAAGTATGTACTATTTGGGTACATGGACCCGTAGGGTAATAAGAGCTCCAAGAGTCAGCCTTTCAGAAGGCGTGAAACGTCAAAATCTCAACATCCTATCGGCCAGAACCCGCAAAACCTCCACGTTGTATACTGTATGCCGCGGCACACATCTAAAGTCTAAATCCTACATATTTAAACTGTTGTGGGGCTGCTACGTAAAGAGAGCTCGACATACTAAAATCAGAGACTTCACAGTCAATGTTTGCACCCCATGAGACCCCCACAAGGTGTGGGTCACGACGCTCCTTGTCCTCCTGCTGACGAGCACCTCGGCAAAAAAGTTGTCAAATATGTTGGTACAGCTGCTGAGTAGCAATCGTAGAAGTAGAAGAAGAAGTAGTAGTAGTAGCAGCAGCAGCAGCAGTATCAGTAGACAGACGCAGTAAGCGTAGTAATAGTGTGGTCCTAGTATCGGAATTGATAGCAGTCGTGGCAGTGTCGGGTCGTGGTCGTGGTAGTGGGAGTCTCGGTGCTGGTGCTGGTGCTGGTGGTGCTGGTGGTGCTGGTGGTGCTGGTGGTGGTGGTGGTGGTGGTAGAAGTAGTAGTAGTAGTAGTATCCGTGGCGGTGGAGCAAGTCTAAACATTCAGGCTTCAGCAGTAGTCAGCTGCGCTGTCGGCCGTCCAAGAGATATGAACGCGTGCCAGCGGCCGCGGCTAGCAACAGCCGCCGTACTTAGCATCAGTAGGGGCCGAAGTATGGTGGCTGTTGGCCACAGCAGTCGTTGCAATTTGTATGTCACATCCGACCACTCTCCCAAGTACTCTTTGAGGCTTTCTGTTGTCTTTTCGAGCGTTCGACACTCCATCCCAAGAGCCCTGTCATGGGATTGGGCAAGCAGGTGCGAGCTTCAGGGCTTAAGTCTCAACGGGGAGAGCTGCCAGGGTTCAGGGATTCTGGGTACGAGGATGTATCGAAGGATTGGTCCTGTGGGGCCTTTTGCTCCAACGAAACATCTTGCAATGCAGTTTAGTGCTTTCCCTTGTTCATCTGCGCCCCACAAACAGAAAAGCTCCCTGTGTGTATACCAGAAACTATAGGTTCAATGGCTTAAGTAAGGCATCCGTAGCTGCATCCCTTCAACAGCCCCTTATAGAACCCACGAACGTTATAGAGCCCTTAAAAGGCTTCCCGTAGAAGCCTTCGTGTCGCAAACTGCATAATTAAATGTGGCCTAAGTGGTTTAACGAAGGTTTTAGCGTCCTCAACCCTACCAAACCATAGACCCTAAACCATAGACTCCCCTAAACCATAGATGCTAAAGCCTAAACCCAAACATGAGCTACCCCTTTGACGACCTCAGCCACAGCTTCTCTGAGGTGCTGACAAAGTAGAGGCCTGAGTTTGCTGTGGTTCATATTCCGAGGTTCAGCTTTACAAAGATCATATATATATATATATATATATATGTATAGAGACAGTATATAGGGATGGTTAGCTTTACACACACATACATATATAGTTACACATGTGTGTATCTGTAGATATGTCGGAGTACATATGCAAAGAGAAAGACAGAGCGAGAGAGAGCGAGCGAGCGAGAGAGAGAGAGAGAGAGAGAGAGAGAGAGAGAGAGAGAGGGAGCTTTGCAGCTAGAGGGTTTCTGTTTTGTTTTCCGTGGTATGTGAAACAATGTAACATGATACAATGTTGTATAAGATAGCACCATGTGATATAAACAAATGTATTATGCCATACTGTAAAATTGTGCAACATACTGCACTGTAACGTAATGCAACGGCAACATGTATAAACTATTGCATTTCATGAAGCTGGTGCGTGGTATTTACTGAGTTACCATACTAGTACATACATGTACATTTATGCATGTACATATACATATTACATATACATATGCATGAATTGTACAAATACATATGCGTATGTGTGTGTATATATATATATATATATATATATATACAAATTTGTACATGTGTTCCCTTATACAGTTATCTGTAAGTATAGTGTACACACGTAGGTATGTGCGTGTGTGTGTGTGTGTGTATGCGTGCGCGTAGGTATGTATGCGTGTATGTATGTATGTACGTACGCATGTATGTACAGATACTGATAGCTGGAGGGTCTCGGTTTCTTGCAATGAGGATTCAAGTTGAGTTCTTCGGCGTCCCAGAGTTTCGGGGGTTGATTGCGAGTAAACTTAAGCGGTGGCCTTTTCCTATCCTAGGGTATCTTGGGCTGAAGACTAGCGTCCGGGTCAACGTCTCTCAGCATGCAGGTAGTAAATTAGTATCAGGCGGGCTTCTAGCCCTTCACCCTGAGATGTAGGCCTCGCTTTGCATGGCATATACGCGACGTTGTTTGTCAAACGCTGCCTGTCCCTATGTTGAGTACCTTCGTTCTCGAACACACACGTGCTTTTAGAGCACAAACAACAGACACTACATCCCAAACCCTGAATGCCAAAGCCGAAAAGATACTGAGGACTTCTCTCGACCAGTGTTTGCATAAGCCCTAAGTCGCCCTGAAGTGCTCTTCCCATATCTTCCAATAGGCTTCATGCTGACAGATTTGTAGACATCTGGTCAGAGCTGATTCATAGTTAGCATCATTTATCAGTGTGAAGTCTTTCTGTTCTTCTGCTTTCTGATGACTTGGTACTAAACCCTAAACCTCTAAACCCCTAAACCCTATACCCTAAACCCTAAACCCTGGTGTCAGTTCAGTCGAGTGCTGTGCAGGCTATTAGAGTTCATCTGCCAAACCCCAGTCTTTAATTAAGGGTTTAGGGTTTAGGGAATTAAGCCTCAACCAGGACCCGCCAAATGGCCCTTTAATGGAGCTCTGATAGCATTTAGGGTATATTGGAGGGTAGTTGGGGGGTCTAAGAAGAAGCCCACTGAAATCAACGCCTCACAAGAAGCTCTTATAGCGACACGAAAGTCCGCGCCCTGACACTGGTGACTATAGAGGTTTGCCGATCCGTTTGACTCGCTCGATACCAGCGGAACCAGAACAAGCACAGTATAGGGACCTCCATGATTACACTCTAAGGGTCAAAACACTTTAGGGAACCTCAAAGTGTAGGATTTCTGAGACCCCAGAGAGACCCAAGGGCTTTCCCTAAGGAGATTCCAAACCCTTTTACGGAGATACCTGGACCCTTAATTAGAGCAGGTTTGCAGGGTGCATTGTCGTACGTACTGCCTTGCTTTACGAAGACGAGGCCGTTCCGTACCGTCCTGCTGAAACAGATCATTGGCGCTCTAACCCATGCTTAAAGCATTCGTCCCATTCCAGGACCCTAAACAGCCTTGAACCAGGGGCACAGAACCCTGAAACCTACACCCTACCCTAAGTCATATTCTGGGCGCCGCCGTTATTAATCCTAATCCCTACACCCTTCTAGACCCTAAACCCTCAACCTATACATACCTAGCCGTACTCAGGGGGGCGGGAACCTCTCCATTCTCCGACTCTTCCGACTTTTCCGATTGGTCCGGATCGCGCGAGTTGGAAGGCTCGCGACTGTTAGGAGCTTTAGGGTTTAGGGTTTATAAGGCTTATAGAGTTTAGGGTGTAAGATTTAGGGCTCTGAGTTTAGGGTTTAGGGTGAATAAGGCTTATAGAGTTTAGGTTTTAAGATTTAGCGCTCAGAGTTTAGGGTCTGGGGTTGTAGCTATAGAGTTTGGGGTTTAAGATTTAGCGCTCAGAGTTTAGGGTTTGGGGTTTAAGATTTAGGGCTTGGGGTTTTGGGTTTTGGATACTTTAGGGGGAGGGTTCGGGCTGATTGCGGCTTCTAGAAAGCTTCTACGGAGTATCTTCAAGGGTTTCGGGCCTAGTTTTGTTTTGGAGATTATGGGGAGCATTTCTTAGGCTAGGGATCGTGTTGCATCTTGAGATGCACAGCAAGCCCACATCATCAAGAGTAGAACGACCAAGAGAGCTGTAGCTTCAGTGTCCTCATTCATATTGATGCGTCGAGTCTTCCTTTGGTGACCCCAATAATCCAAAGACCCCACGAGCCCACGAAATACCCTAAAGGTCCTAAAACCTGAGCCTAAACCAGCTAAAAGCCCACCCCGAAATCAAAGCCCGCGGGCGTGTAGGGGCTCGTGAAACCCGTGGCCGAGAGTTGAATTTTTTTTGAGATATTGCATGGGATTCTGCGAAGCTGGAGATGTTTTTTGGGGCAAAAACCTTTTGCATAACGTCAACAATATTCGCAACATAGGTATACTGGCCTTTAACCGTGCCCTTATTGTGAACAGCTATTGCAGTGCCCAACCTTTCATCCCCCAGCCCAGATGTCAAACAACCCACAAGCACTGATTCCTGAACATTCGGGTGGTTGTCAAAATTATGGGCCCTTTTTGGGTCCTTATTATAATACGGCACCTATTATTTAGGGTACCCAAAAAGGGGACCATAATTTTGACAACCACCCATTCCTTAGCCAAGCCTTGAACGCTTACGTCCCAGACTCACACTCAAGCACCAAACAATTAAACGCTTATAACCTGTATACACCCTAACCCTAAGTTCTAAACTCCACAAATCCTATACCCTAAATGCTAAACTCTTCAGACCCGTAACTTTGCAAGTCCTAAACCCGCAACCCTAAACCCTAACCTTTCCAAATCCTAATCCACCCTAAATTTTTCAATCCCCAAACCCTCATAAACTTAAGTTACAAATCCCGAACAATAAACAATGCAACTCCTAAACCCTGAACCCCTATAAGCCCCAAACTTTACAAGTCCTAAGCCCTACACCTGTTTATACATCCCGTATAGTAGCCCCCTTTAGAGGAACCCTCTGATAGTTTTTGAGGCCCTCAACTTAGCCTAATACCCTAAACTTCACAACTCCTAAATCCTAAGAACATTAAAGCTTTATAGAACCCCTATAGATCCCTTAAAGCAGCCGCGTATCCCTAATCGAACCCCTATAGATTCCTTAGAGGAGCCGCTTATAAAACCCTAAACCCTTTTGAAGGCTCATGAGCTCCTGCCGCGAGCTGGTGGTGCTCGTGAAGGGCATCGGCATGGGACTTCGCTCCGTTCTCTCCACGCTGTGCCTCGGTCGCTTAGGGTTAGGGTTTAGGGGTTTAGGGTTTAGGGGTTAGGGGTTTAGGGTTTAGGACTTAGGGGTTTAGGAGTTTGGAAGTTTAGGACTTTGGGTTTTGCACGCGCTTTGGGTTTAGGATTTAGGGTTTTGGATATGTGTCCGGGAGCCTTCTGCAGCGAACAGGTAACATCAAGAATCTCGCGCTCTTCCTCTGTGTCTCTCTCCGTCTCTCTCTCTCTCTCTCTCTCTCTCTCTTTGTCTCTCTCTCTCTCTGTCCTTTCTCCTCTCTCCCTCTTTCTCTCGCTCTCTCCCATTTTCCGGTTGGAGTAGCATAGGAGTCGAGACCAGATGTTGCGAGCCCCTAACAGGTATGCCTTTGCACACCTCTGTACGGCTCTAGAGCATCCGACCTGAATGTCGGTTTCCTCGTAGCTCTCCGGCATGCTCAGTGGTCCAGGTTCCTGATGATGGTGGTCATCTACATCTTTGCCATCATCTTCACCCAGCCCCTGGGCTCGTCCGTAAAGAGCTTTGGCCCGAACCCGCAAACCGAAGGCTGCAAGTTTTCTCACGTTGCAAGTACACAGTCTCAATCCTTAAGCCCCTTATAATAGTAATAATCGTAATAGTAGCAATGATCGTTTTCAGTAGCAATACTACGAGGAATACTACTAAGAATCATAACAAAAAGGTACTAGTAAGACTAGTAATAACAGTAATGATACGAAAAATAGTAACAACTATATATAAATGAATACCAGCCCGCAGCCACAGGAGCCTTGAATTTCACAACCCTAAACACATGCGAAGGAGAAAAGAGCCCGTACAGGAACCATGAAGGAGCCCTTACATGATCACAAACAGGAACCCTTAAAGGTTGGAAGTGTCAGTCCCGAGACCGAATCGACCCCTTCTAAGCCTACACCCGAACGCATGCAGTTATGTGTCCCAGCCGCAGCCCCAGTCTTATCCCAGGCGCGAAAACAGGTTTAAATCTCTGACCCTAAGGGTCCATCATATGTATATGCTATAGCTCAAAGTAAATACAAACTACAGCCAAAGGGGCCTGTAGAGCCCTGAAAGGAACCTTTAAGGTGACGTAATTATTGCAGCTCCATCCGACACTGCCATGCGACCAGCATGGCCAGGCAGTCTGTGTATTGTTGCAATCCGAAGCCCTCCCGAAGAAAGCACGCACAGGCAAACCGAAAAGAACGCTGCATGCGTGCTTTTCACGTTTATTTCGGGAGTGGGGCAGCCCAGCCACATCACAAGCATCTGTACAACAGGCAAAACAGTGGCAACCAGAACTGCAGACCAAGAGGATCCCCGAGACCCTGTCCACTCTACAGAGGCCCGTGTATGTCCTAAAAAAGCCCTGTCAAACCTGTTATACCCTGTAAACCCTATATGAAACCATTTGGTTCTGTAAACGGCCCGCTTCAATTCTGCACGATGCTACTGCCACCCTCTGAAAACCTGCTCAGATTCTATATACTGCTAACTGCTAACTTAGTTCTACAGAAAACTGATCTAAGTTCTGTATCGCCCTAAACCTAGGCCCAAAGTAGTTCCTTTTTGGGATTACCTTATAGGATTCTATATATGAACCCCAAAAAGGAACTACTTTGGGGCCTTAGGGTAAACCCTAACCGAGGCTCTTCCGAGGGAGTCCCGAAGCCGAAGGCTGCTACGACGGGGTTTTGCAGTCCATGAACTGCACCCCGGCTTGCAATTTTAGGTTTAAGGGGTTTAGGGTTTAGGGTTTAGGTTTAGGGGGTTTTGGGGGGTTTAGGGAATTTAGTTTGGTTTGGGGGTTATAGGCTTGGGGGTTTTGGGTCTAGGGCTTATACAGTTGGGGGGTTTTGTGTGCAGGGATTCGGGCTTCGGTGGTTTAGGATCAGGGTTTGCGGCCAGTGGAGGGCTAAAAGACTGCACAAACGAGGTTACAAAAAGGGCCTATAGATAATTACCAATACTATCTTAGTGTTGATCAATCGTGTATTAATGGCAATTAAGGTCGTTTAAATACAGTTTACTTCGGAAACTGCTTGTAACAAGTCACGACCATTCACCAGAACTTTCAAGCTTGTCGAAAAAGTTCGTAGTTGACGTTCGGGCCAGAGCCTGGCTTTGGCTGTTGAGGGCATGTCGCCCCAACCAAGAACAGTTTTCATAGGTGTGCAACTCTTTGAACCGAGCGGGTGCTTCTGGGATGTCGACTCGATGATGTCGACCCAGAAGCAATCTTGGATCGGTGTATCCTTTCGTCAATTAATATACCCGTTCCAGTGCTATCATCTGGCGAAAAGCTTTTCAACCTTACGTCGTGAATCAGTGAACTCGATGCACCCCTAAAAGAAGAATCTCAGCAGGATGACCCTCAACGGCTAAACCCTCAATCCTAAACCCTCCACTTAGACCCCCGAAATCCCCTCTAATGTCTATTGTATTATACCTGAAATACCTACTATTAAGGACCATAAGGGCTCCATTAAGGGGCCATTATGGGGTCCTGGCAAGGGACAGTTTTTCAGGCGCTTAGGGAGTCTCGGGCTACAGGAGCTCACGCCACAGCCGTACGGTTGTTGGGTACTACTTGAGATTTCTGGATTTGTTGGCAATGTTTTTGTCTTTTTATAGGCCCTAATTACACCCAGATCCCCACAACCCCAAACCTTAATCCCTAAACGCCCTGACGCCCTGACGCCCTAAACCCAAAGCCCTATTAAGCCGTAAAGGATCTAAAGAAGCTTATTTTTACCTTCAGGGTGATTGGAGGTACGCGAGGAGCAGTTCTCTGAATTAGGGCCCAATTGAGGGCTCTGTTCATAATGGTACGTTAGCTGAGAGAACTAGAGTCCCAAGCAATGTCATCAAGCCAATACAGCAGAAGCCTAAAAGTTGGAAGCCCAATAGCCTCAATCCTGAAGAGTAATGTATAGGGAATCCCAGCACTATTTGGCCTTAATCCGGTTTCCAACTTTATGGGGTTTACTGTAGGCATACCTTTGAAACGCAGTGAGCGATTAACTCTGCTCACCTGCTCACCAGTTGTGACTTTTCTTGTTGCCTTCGGCCTTGCCAGTGCAGCGACTTAGGTTTGATGCTGAATGTCGTGACTCGCCTCAACTTGATGAGTTGGGTTTAGGGTTTAAATAGAGCAGCCAAAGTACCCTTAAAAGGAAACTGTACCCATGTTTGAGGGTCATGTCTTTATTCAGGTACCTTTGTTACTCTGGATACTTCCCTCCTTCTTCCCGGTCGCTACCTTTACATTGGGTTGGGCCAGTGTAGGACCCCGAGTTGAGGCTCAAAGGCTGCAGCTTTGATCGGGTTCCGGATGCAGCGCAGGGTGATTTCGGAATGCGAAAGGACCCGGGCACTTTGCGACATTTCAAAGCATTGCAATGGGGTGCTAGAGTTGGGGGGTGTGTGCCGAGTGTCCTAGCTCCTCAAGGTAATTAATGTAGGAACCTGATTAAGAAACCCTGGGGCTATAACCCCCCTAAATGGTGGGATCCATTTTAGGAACCCTTATCTTGGGAATTGAACGTTATGTCATATGTCTTGCCCGATGGAGGGCCATGGGCTGCATAGGAAGGATGGAATCCCTAAGGGTCCATGTGCCCAGGCAGTATATGCTACGGCCTAATGTATTCCCATGTAAACCCTCTTTGTACTTCGGCGCCAAAGTATCCAAATAGTATATACTTTGGCCCCAAAGTACCTACATACGGACTGCATTACGGCCAAAGTATAAACTATTTGGGTACATGGACCCTTAGGGTTCTGCTGCTCCGGAAGCTTCACAGAGGAAATCCCTTCGACCTTTGAAAATGTTCTCAGGTTCAGGATTTAGGGATAGGATTTAGGATTTAGACGCCCTGCGAAGGTCTTCCCGGAGCAGCAAGAGCTGATGGCGAAGCAGCCTGGCAACAGTGAAGCCTCAACCCTCCACCCCCAAGTAAACCCAAAACGTTTAGGGTTTACGGGTTTGGGGGCTTAGGTTTGGGGTTAAACTCCTATGGGCCCTAGACCCCTAGACCCGGAAACCTTAAATTACTAAACCTGGAAACCCTTGGACCCTAAGCCCTAATCCGTGAAATCTCAAGGGTTTTGGCAACGGGCTTCACCCGAAGCTTGTGACAGAGCCCTGATCTTCACCAACCTAGTGTTTGGGGTTTAGGATCTTAGGATTTAGGGTTTAGGGTTTAAGTTCTAGTTGAAATATTCTCGTTGCCATGTTTTGCCGGACCCCAGAAACGAGCCTGGGCGACGGAGCTTCAATGCAGGAAACTTCACGAGCAGCACCGTTAAGAATGCTTCTAATCTGGAGGGGGTGGGGTTTACGGTCCAGACAGCTGCAAGTTCTTTTCTGACAAGGCTGCGTAGATGTCTGTGGTTTCTGTGCGTGTGTCGGAGAAACCGGATCTTTAAAACCCCCACACCCTAAACCCTAAGCCCCTAACAAACCCTAAACCCGATTTGGGGATGCACTGTGGTGTTTCGGGATTCCGAAATAATTTCGGTTTAGCCATTTTCAGGCTCTAGGACTTAGATGACCCTAAACCCCACCTCTAAACCCGTGAACCCCTGAACCCTAAACCCCCTAGCACCCAAAACCCCTGAACCCTAAGCGTGGAGATGTGTCAGGATGCTTGAGCTGGGTCCCATGACTTACCTGCTTGGTATCTTCTACCTCCTGGTTACCGGCCTAACGGTGCCTTGGCTGTGGTTTAGGGTTTTCCTGGCCTCCAAGTGCCCTCTCACTGGTCCGAAAGTGGGTATTTATGGTATAACCAGAGGTCAGTTATGTAGGTTAGGATTCTGGAGAGTATTGGATTATTGGGTACTTGGACCCTTGGGGTAAGGTTTAGAGGTTTTGTGGAGTCGGATCTCAGGGGCTTTGGCGGGGGCAGACGCAAGGGCATCAGCCCTTGCGTCTCCCCAAGGGTCCATGTACCCAAACAGTATATAGATGGGTAGTTGTCGAAATTATGGTCTCTTCTTGGGTACCCTAAATAGTAGGTGCCGTATTGTAATTATTAGGGACCCATAAAGGGACGCTCATATCGACAACCACCCATATAAATTGGCCCGATGTAGATACCTTGAGGGCCAAAGTATATACTATTTGCCCAAGGTTAGTTGACGCACCATGACCCCAAGCCCGGGACGGAAACACCGCACCTCGCCAACTGAAGCACTGACATGTTAAGCTGAGTTCTTCATTGCTGCGTTGTAGATAGGCCGGTTTGGACTTTAGGCCAGTAGCTTTAAGAGAAAATGCACCTTGCAGTCTGAGTGTGTCTTGCTTTCGATGAGGGGATTGCTGCCAGCGGTAAGGGTTGAGGGCTTCGCAGCGCTTGCTGTGCTCAAGCTCTCTGGCCCTTGCACCCTAAGAAGCATGTGAGTCCCTAAACCCTAAAACCCTTGAAGCCCTGAACCTTAAATCCCTGAAGCCCCAACCCCAAACCTACTAAACGATCAAGCTTAGAGACGCGACACACCGAACCAGAAAAAATAATTAGACCTATGTTATTCTAACAGAGTACTAGGAATTTGAAGCCCGGATTATAAACGGGCTATGCAGGACCCCTCCAAAAATAGACCCCTCCGCCAAGGTCATGAACATGCTCATCGGCCGCGCCCCGAGCTGACTCTGCAACTACGAAACTGGCCTTCCTTGCCATGCTTTTCGTTGTGTACCTAGACTACCCGAGGGCTCCAGTTACCTACTTGTACATAGTAGTTGTTGGGGGTAAATTGGTAACTATTATATATGGCTAGTTAACCGACTGTTTAGGTCACTGGCACTAGGGGTAATTCTTGAAATGGCAATGAAGATACGGAACTTGGCGTGATGCCGAAGCGACCTCAACTAGCCGTTTCTGCTTATATGTTAGCAGCCTTGCGAGCTCAGCTACCTACGTGTGCAGGTGGGTTGTTATCCTTGGGCCCGTAAATACAAGCCTTCTCGCAACTGCACTGGGGTCACCCATAAATCGAAGTTTGGGCTTCGATGTGCCAACTTGACCCATAAGCGCAGGCGTGCTGGTGGAAGTGGTGTCAGTGGTGGCTCAAGTGGACAAGGAGGACGGCCCAGGGATAATCGCGTCAGCACCGAAAAAAGGGTTCCTGGATGGGCCACGGCTTCCATGGCTGTGATTTGATTTCTGCGTGATGCTGAGCTTAGTGCAGCTCGCAAGGCGGTTTCGCAAAATCGAGAGTGTTCCCGTAAACATGCCAAAGGTTCAAGAGGCCATCAGTGTTCTCATTTAGTCGCAAGTCTGGAAGCCCTGCGCTTTGCCTCATATCTATAGCTCTCACTGATTACTTACCTATACTTAGTTGCTACACGTGCTATGAATGTACCTTGCATGGCTCAGGGCTTGGCCTTTTCCGGCCGTTGAGGTGTTTCCTCATATACAGGGTCAAAAGCCTCTATAAGCCCGTTCTGACATCGGTCAGTTGTTCTTTTCCCTTAGGGTTTAGGGTGGTCGGAACAATTACCAGTACTGCCAGTACTGTTCCTTACATGAGAATATTCTCAGTAGAACATACCCCATAACACTACATATTCTAATCAGTACGGCCCATGTTGAGCAAGCAAGTATTTCGTCCATCGCACGTTTGTATGCATGCATACTTTATCTGTAACTTCTATGTGGCTGCGTTGCTCCGTCAGTTGTAGATGCTCTGGCTATGCGGATTCTGAATAAGTACATGAGGATCTTTATGTTTTCATGCATACTTCATCAAGTGCCTGTACGAGGCTGTATTTATGGCCGTTTCGGCTGTCCTGAACCTTCATACATCTGCTTGATCAGTCATGGGGCAGTTCTAAAATTCTACGCACGTTCGGTAGCAGGCCCTAACGGTCCATGTACCCATATAGTATATACTTAGGCCTTGAAGTACCAATATGGGGACCCCTTTAAGGCTTAAGTATCTACTATAAAGGTACATGGAGCCTTTGGGAGGAATCCCAAACGAGTTTGCTACTCCTGAAGCCGTCGCTGCAGGAGAGCGCAGTGAAGGCACTCCGTGACAAGATCCAGGACGTTACGGCTTTGACGGTTTAAGGCTGCCCTAAACCCTATCAACCCTAAACCGTGGGGTTTGAGGGTTTAGAGTTTAGAGTTTACAAATTAGTACCTTAACCCAAATAACCTACCTTTTTAGGGATTTAGGAAAAGAAATCAGAGTAAGGAACCCTAAAAAGGCAGGTTCCTTAGGGTCCAGGTAAACCCTAAACCCTAAACCGACGCTGAGTTCCGAACTAAGCAGTTTGAATTCCAAGCCCCTTCAGCCCCGACAGTCTGGGCTCAACCCGAAACCGCCAAGTAAACCCTACATGCTTAGCTCCTTAACTGAAAGCAGCTGAGCCCTGAGCACAACAACCCTAAACCCTAAACCCTCAACTCTAAACCCTAATTCCCTTATAAGTCCTTCAAAAAGTATATAGGTTCTTCAGGGTCCGGGTAGGCTTTAGGGTTAGAACTCAGGGTTAAGCCTAGATCTGCCTAGTCCTTTTAAAATAACGCATGAGCGAAGGCCCCCGTAGTAAGCCCAAAAGGAAGCTTAGCCTACCAAACCCTACCTTTTTTGTAGGTTCTCATTACAATCCCTAATATGGAATTTATAGGGACCCTAACTTTTTGTAGGTTCTCATTACAATCCCTAATAATTACTCAATATGGAATTTATAGGGACCCTAGCTTTTTGTAGGTTTTGGTAGGTTAAGGAAGCCCTTGGCCGTGGCAGGATCTCGTGCCTTCGGATGCAACAAACGGCGTCAACCGGCAGCTGTTCTTGCAACTGATGATGGATCCTGGCCTGCAATGTGGTGGACTTCTATTCTCGCATATTACTGGAGAGGTAGCCTACTTGCGTTCCTTACGGTGAGGACCAAAGGTTGAGGGTGTATATGACGGCTCTAATATAATGTTCCGCAACTCTCATGTTGTTGTCATATCCACATAGATGCTCGGACTGTGCACGTTTGAGTTCTATCAAAAGCAATGCCAAGGACTGGTTCAGGGTTTGGGGCACAGACAGGGTCGGGGTTTTTACTTGCTTGCGTGAGGCTTGAGGGTTTAGGACATTTCGGGTCTTCTCCGGTTCATCCAGGCAAGGCCAGGGAGCACATGCCCGACGGTCTACATTCCTGGCAGGGTTTAGGGTTAAAGGTTTAGGGTGTTTCGGGCCCTAATGTCCTAGAATTCAATTCCTTGAACCCTTGCCCTTTGGCAGGTTATTATGACTCCCCAATCAGAGGTTTTAACGCTTAAAACAGTGGGTTTTTGGATGCCCAGGTATCCCCTAAACCACCCAACCCAAAACCCTCAACCCCCCAGACTTCGTAAATGCTTAATGCAGGGCCCTAAAACCCCAATCCCCGAACCCTTCATGCTGGAGAGCTCCAGTACGGGGCTGACACTTTCAAGTACATGCAGTAGACCCCGGTTCCGAGCCAGAAGTACAGTGACCACAGCCCCATGCATCCTTTCTCCTTCTAGTCTAAACTGAGACGAATCACCCGGGTGCGATGTTTTCTTGGGCTTAGTGCTTCTTTTTCGTAGTCGTTCCGGTATATCCCGGGCGCAAGGATCCTGAGCTCGTTGTGACCATGCAGAACATCGATGTGGACGTCATGTGCGTTGCAACTACGATGCATATTGAAGATGTAAGGAAGCATGTCTATGCTGAAGTTTGGGCTTCCCAAAGCACCCACATGCTTAGGGTTTAGGGCTGAGTGTTTAGGATGTAGGTTTAGGGTTTAGGGCACATGCCTCCAAGCACCTCCCGCATAGCGAGACAAAGCAGAAGCCAAAACCGGGTCACAACCCACTCCAGACCCCAACCAAGCTCTGGACCTGAAGATTACACAGTTTCCAGCTATGGATGCGAGAACCTACCGTGTTGAGGGTTATAGTTATAGATAATTACCTATACTGTTTTGGGGGGTTCCTTAATCAGTTATTGTGTAACAATGGGCCCCAAAGCCATCTTCCAATTATTGAGTTTAAGGCTGCTGTATTACATATTTTCTACCTGTGGATATCCGAAAACCCGACCGTTTTGAGGGTTATACCTTATGGTTAAAGGGGTGTGGATCCGAAAGCCTACCGTTTTGAGGGTTGTGCCTTATACTTAAATCGGTCATGACCTACTGTTTTGCAAGGTTTCGGGATACAGGTATAAAGTATAAGCCCACAAAATCCCTAAAGCCCCAAGCCACTGAACCTCTAAAACCCCTCAGCCACTGAATTTTAAGGTCTGGTTTCGAGGGCTTTTGGGAACGGTTGATGATGTAAGCCCTGCATTCCCCGTAATAGGAGCCCCCTTAAGGGTACCCTTATAGATCCCTCTAAAGGAACCCAGGATTGATTTGCATCATCAACAGAAGCACCCAGGTCGATTACCCAGAGATCATGTTCCATGCTCGGGAGTATCTCTCCGTTCCCGAGCTGGTGGATGCAACTTGGCTTAGGGTTTAGGGGTTTAGGGTTTAGGGTTTATGATGCAACTTGGCTTAGGGTTTAGGGTTTTAAGTCTTCTGGGGGTTATAGGACTTACGATGTGGGGATTCTGGGCTCTTGAGGTTCAGGGTTTGGGGGTTTTCCGGGCTTGTCATGATGGTTTAGCATTTGTTTCGTTAAGTGCACTGCTTCTTCTAAGGCTTCGAGAGTTTTTAGGGCTTTCAGTTTTTGTAGGGCTTTGAGAGTCTGGGGGTCTTGATGGTGTTTTGGGTGTTGAGCACGGCCTTCTTATGTTTATCTCTTCAGTCTGCACTACACCGACCCCTAAATCCAGTGGCTCAAGGGGTCTATGGTTCAAGAGTTTCGAGCTTGAGGGCTGTGGGGCTCTAAGGGTTTACGGTTTGGGGTTTCAGGTTTGGGGTCTCGATTTTTTTGGGTTTCGGTTGCTATTTCTCCCGAAGCTTGCCCAAAGGTACCAAGATCCTTTCCCACAGATCCTTCGTTCATTCCTGGGGATCCTTTTTAGGGTTCCTTATTGTGATTTCCTTATATAAGTCCTTAAAAAGGTGGGTTATTCGGGGTTGAGGTAGACCCTCTTTTAAAGGAGCCATAACCTACTATTTTGTAGGGTTTGTGGATACAGGTTTTCTCTGGGCCTCACCGGAAGTGAATACAAGTGCTGGTAAATCGTGGAAGTGTCGGTGCCGAACCCGCACCTTGAAACAGTCTCAGGCTGTTCTGCAATTCCGGCGCACAACCTCTGTGAGCATGATGGCCCTTTGGCCTGAGTTTTTAGTTCTGCGTTGTGCCTCGTTTAATCCAACCCAGATGTTCCCAAACTCAAATGAGGTATGCCTAGCATGAAGTACTCTTGCACCGTATTCCCAGGGACACACCAACAAAGCCACGGTTTAGGGTTTAGGGTTTTAGCTGTGGGCGTCCTTCGATGTGGGGGTGAATTCTGAACATTAGGGTTGGGGGGTGGGGGTGGCGGGCGAGAAGTCACCTTGTTTTGGGTTGTCATCGTCTAGGGCTTCACTCGGGTGCAGAAATGGCATTTTCGAGCTTTCACATGGCTCATAATCTCACCAGCAAGAGTTCCGTCTTTAGAGTACCCGTAGCTGATATCCCATACTTCGATCTCTCATGGGGCCATATTTCACATCCTCGGTTGCTCCGCGCCTCTCTCAGGCTAAACCTGGAAAACCCGTATCTTCAAGCCGGGCAATATATGCCCATTCTTTAGTTCATGCCTTTGTGTAGGTACATTGGTCGCTCGGATAAACTTAAGCCACTGAATCACGAACCCTGTATTTGCCTGGTTCTTTCAAGTTTAACATGGCTGATGGGAAAGGTCCTGCATGCTGCATGACTCATTCGACCTTATAGGACCTGTGGTCGCCAATGTAGTGTACATGCAGGCTTTACAGCATTTGTTCTAGCTGCAGTCACCGAGCCCCCCTCCCTCCACCCGTAGTACGTGTTTTGGTTCGGGCTGCCCAACTTAGCAGTAACAAAAAGGGAGTTCAGCGTTTCCCGAACTTGGATCAGCTCCCTAGGGGCCCGATTCGCCGACATCACCCCCTTGTGGCAACTGAACCTGTGTGTTGGGTCTTGTTGGAAAACCTTTATAAAGCCCCGTTGAAGACTCCGCATATCCATGAGGTTCATCTAACCTGCTTGGTCATGAGGAGCTGTTTCAAAGCCAAGCCAGTTTCCACGTTATTACCACCCCAGATTCTCTACTCAAGGTGCATTCTCAAAAGGTTTAGTGGCTTACTTTGCTGTTCAAGTCGCGGCGCACATAGGTTACAAGCAGAATCTAGCAGAACTAAGTCAGATCGCAGATATCAGACATCTGCCACGAGGGAATCCCAACTCTACTTACCTAATGCCTACTTACTCAAGCCTCTGGGCCTGAAAGTACGGCTTTGAAGCATGTGGGAGTTTCCGAAAATTAGGGGCACCTTGCTTTGGGGTCCTTGTAATAAGGATCCTACTATATTAGGGTCCCCTGTTTTCGGAAACTCCCTTTTGATCGTCCAGTGTGGGCCCTTTGGGGGCGCAGTGTTAGTTGGGCGAGGGTCGTCCGGGGTCGATGTACCAATCACCAGACCTTCGTCAATGTACCTGCAGTCATTGAACCTAGAGTTTCAACCCTGGACGAAGCCTTTGATTGATCGTCTCCTTCATCCACATCCCCGAACAGCACAGAAGTGAAATCCATTGCTTAATCTGAACCCCCAGGCAAGCACACGCATTCCAACCGCGGCCTCTAACCCCAAGGGTCCAAGTATCTAATAATCATATACGCTCCAAAATCCTAGCCTACATTCCTAAAACCGAATACCTAATTATTGTGTTATGGTATATACTTAGACCCCCAAAATACCCTATAAGTATATACCATAATGATCCTTGGAGCCTTTGGGTAAGGACATCGCGCAGCTGCGGAAGTTCATGGTGAACGAGCTCGAGAGCCTGAGACAGACGATCAGGAATCGAGCATGATTGGCTTCAGAAGAGACGGTTTAGGTTCGGCGGTTTTTAGGGTTTAGAGCCACGGTTTAGGGTTTGGGGTTTAGGTGTCAGTTAAAGGCTTCAGAAGAGACGGGTTTAGGGTTAAAGGGTGCTTTGGGTTAGGGTTTGGTTTGGGTTTTGGCATCCAGGGTCCAGAGTGTAAGGCGTGGTAGAGCTTCCCGTTCTGAACTCTCCTCAAAGTGGCGAGAAATGCCACACAGAGATCCAACTTCCGCCAGCCCGCTTGCAAAAGCAGTCGCAAGCATGAGGCAAGCACCAGAGCCCAAAATCCTCAACGCGAAAACCTTAAACCTTCAACCCTAGGCGCTAGAGTCATTCCGAAAACACGAAACCAACGCCTCGCTACTGGAGGGCAAGACAGTTGGGTACCGAGATGGATGCTGTGGATCTTTGCTTTGCAGATTTTTTGCGCAGAGGGCATGTAAATGGAGCCAGCTGGATGCTACCATCATGAAGGAGGCTTTGTATAGTAGCAATACTGTTCCGGGGGGTGGTGTACTATAGTTCTATAGGGACTACAACAAGATACGATCACCAAAAATCTAGACCCCTAAACTAAACTCAAGCATTCCTGTCCGTGGAAAACCCGGAGCGCGAAGCTCAACCCTGCGGCAATGAGCCGATTTGATCCGAAAGCCTTAGGCTATGAAACCGTAAACTCTTCATCGTCGTCGCGCCGTAGCCGTAGTATTATCAGCGTGCGGAGCAGCAGACAGCAGCAGCAGCAGCAGCAGCAGCAGCCGTAACTGCAGCCGTAACTGCAGCAGTTGCGGTAACAATACTGCTTTTAGCTTTATGGAGTTTAAGTTGTTGTAGTCAGTAATTAGTTACTACTGTGGCTGTATGATTCAGCATTTAACCTGATGCAAAATGTCATTGTCTTACCGGGTTTCTTACCCTCAAACTTGGTCGAGCTTCGAGTTGGCTTACACACCTGCCCATTGATTGCTATCGATTCATCTCCCTTGGCAGGATAGACTTGCTCTGTGCAAGGATCATTGTCGGAATCGAGTCTATACTGCCAGAGTGGCTTACAAGTTTTGCTTGTGAGGTCCGGTCAGAATATCCTCGACGCATGCCGTGAAACTCTCGACAGAATAACCGATAAGGTGTAGTTCCAAGGTGTAAGGGCAAACGACAGTGCTTCTAAGATGCCTGACCGACTCACGCCTTACTTCTTAGAGATTGGGATTCTCCAAGATCCGGTGGTACTCAGCAGACGGCCAGACCCTAAACTCTCCCCAAAGGGTCCAAGTATCAAATGGTATATACTTATTGGGTATTTCCGGGGTCTAAGTATACACCATATTGATACTTGGACCCTTTGGGCTATAAACTCTTAACCTTAGGCTACGCATGCTGAGTGCGAGCGGATTGCCGCAGTCGGCAGCAGGGCATTCTACGATTGGAGTTAAGTGCTTCGAGTTTACCCAGAGGCCCCATATAGTAGTTCCTTTTGGGGATACCTTATAGGGTTCATATATATATTGGGGGATTGGATTTTTGTTGTTCAGGGCATACTGGATCCGATAATTAACACTTGTTTGAGGCTTTGCAAGTTGCTTTCTAAGTCCTGGATATGGCTCTGGCCAGGGGCTGTAAGATTCAGGCTTCCACCCAAGGCCTTAGGGGCCTTAACAGTTAGAACAGCGTTTGGGCTTGGGTGTGTATCATCTTATACTTAGAATATTTCGGAAATGCAAAGGAATACCATTTGTAGTTGTCTAGTCTGCAGGATATCTCTGGGTCCTTAATAAGGGTTGATAGGGCGGGCGGGCGAGATTGGCCCCTGCAAACACCCAGGCGGCTGCCTACCTTTCTGTATCTCGTTATCATCGTTTGCTTGGGGTTGCCACAAACATCCCGTTCAAACAGTTAAACCCTAATCCCTAAACCCTGAACCCTAAAGCCTAAACCTAAATAGTTCAGGCCCGTAAATTACCCAAAGGGTCCAAATATCATTATGATATATACTTAGACCCCCGAAATACCCTATAAGTATATACCATAGTGATACAGGCCCCTAAATTAGTAGAGTCCGGGTCCGGTTTGCAAGGATCCCTGCTGGCCGGTTGTTAGCGGATGCGGAGCCGGCGGACAAAGCATGCAAGCTCGTTCAACGCTCATCTGTAGTGCTTATTGCGCTGTATTCGGTCCCACCCGCGATATAAAAGAACGTTGCAATGAGTCGGTATGCAGGTCGGAGGCGGACAGCTGCATTCAGTTCATCCGCGACTTTCGGTGATATTTGTGGAGGAGCTGGTCGAACGATTGAGCTTGCATGCAATTGTTTCCGGCAGTGGCCCATGCCCGCTTATCCGGAGTTCCGAAGAACTCCTGAAAGCATTAGATCGTTTTGCTAGGTAAAGACTGCTGTTCCATTTGAAATTGGCTTTGCATGCAGCCCCGGGCTTCAGAAAGCATAGCACCAAGTCGGAACCCTGATGTAAAGATGGGACATAAACGCTAGGCTCGAACCCTAAGCCGAAGCCCTGGATTAAAGCGTTTCGTTTCGGAGTCCTAAACCCTTAAACCCTAAACCGGTTCTGGGGCTGAAGGTTCAGGGTTAAGGGCTTGTGCTGTTTGGGGCTTAGGGTGTGCGATTTCGCGTTTACCCTAAAGGGTCTTGAGCTTTTTGGGGGAGGGTTTCGGCTTTGGGAGCTAGGGTCCGGGATCTCACTACAAGGGTCCAGGAGCCTTAAGGTAGGGCCTTTTGGGTTTGCAGTTCAGGATTTGTTAGGGCAGGGTTTGGGGGTAGGCTGATCCTCTTTTGGAAAGAGGGAGCCTTGCAAGGGAGCCGCCAGAATCTGGTGCCTAGGCTTGACCCCGCCTACCAGGTGCGTACTCAATCGAAGTCTTCCTCAGAGTGACCCACGGACATTGACTGGCAAATACTGTAGTGTTGGATCCAGGAGGGCTGCAAGCTAGTCAGGGTTGTGAAGACGCTTTCGTCGTAGCAATGCCTAAACCCCTAGATAGGAGACCCTAAAAAAGTACCCCAAATAGAAGGACCCATAATATAAGGACACCAAAATAAGGCACCCCGAATTTTCTGAAACTCCCTAAACCCTTTTGGAGCCCTTTAAAGGAACCCTTCTAGTACCCTTATAGTAACCCTTTAAGGGAACCCCTAAGATGCCCCTAATTTTCGGAAACTCCTGGAGAGTAACCCTATGGTAGAAGCCAGAAACTTGGAACATTGGTATCCTCGTGCCCTTAAAGTAAAGGATAAGGGATCCTAGCACCAATCCTCCTAAACTCATGTTCCAACTTTCTGGCTTCTGCTGTAAGTCCCTAAGACCCTAAGCCCGAAATCCGAAGGGGCCGAGAGGTCCCTTTGGGTCAACTTCGGGTCGACGGTTTAGGGCCGGGTGGTCCTAAATTAGGTTTAGGGTTTATAGGGTGTAGGGGGGTCCAGGGTTTTTTTTAGAAGGTTTTGGCCAAGGTTTGGGTTTTTGGAAGGTTTAGCTGAGCGCTTGGTTCCCTCTACTCCCCTGGTCCCTTGGTCCGCTGCTCATCTGGTCCCTTGGTGTGTTTGCAAATGGGTGCTGGTTGGTTTTTCACCGGAACCCGTGATAAAGGTGTTGGCACAAACTTTCTAAAAAACATGGTTGGGCCAAACCTTGAAAAAGAAAACCTCCGCCGGTTTAGGGGTTAGGGTTTAGGGTTTAAGGTTTATAGGTTTAGGCTTTAGAGTTTAGGGTTTAGAGTTGTCCCCACAGATGTGATTAAGCAAGATGGGTCATCCCCGTTAAAGTCATCATTCCCTTAAGCGGAACCCTTAAAGCATCGCTTAAAGGAGCCGGGATGCAAAAGGGGTCCTTTAAGCCCCGGAGAATGAGCATCGGAGGCCTCTTGTATACCATAGGGGCTGGAGTAAGCAGTAAACATGTCTCTTTGAGTTAGGGGGTATTATGGTTGTATTTATGATGTACCATGACATGCCTTTGGACCTTTTGTTTGTTGGTAAGGCCGCAATTATGCTAGATCGTGGCCACTGAGTATCAGGGCCAATGCTCAGTATGATGCATGCATCTGATACCTGATGGCTCAAAAATGCACTTGAAGACCCGATTGTGCTACTTGCTGTTTCCCGCAGGGTCCAAGTATCATTATGGTATATACTTAGACCCCCGAGATATCCTATAAGTATATACCATAATGATACTTGGACCCTTTGGGTTTTGAGGTCATTGAAAGCAAGGTTGGTTTTCTCAGCGCTTTCAGAGACTCGGCCTCCGGCCTTCAAGCACGCAGACGACACCCTTAGCCCTGCACATGAAGCCCAAGCCCGAAACCCGATCTGCATCTCTGCTTTAACAAGCCCACAACACCCCTTGCATCCGATCAACTCTATGCACCCTAAACTCGATCAGTCCCAACTAATCCCTGAGCTTTCTGTCGCCCCTGGCATGGCATTTGGCGAGCCTCCGTTTGCCATTGGCACACCGTCCCAGTCTCAGGTTTAGGACTTCGAGTTGTGTTTAGGGCCAGCGCGCCCAAAAAGACGCTCGTGGTGGCACGGGGCTTTTGTGGTAGTGGTTTAGGTTTTTGGGTTGAGGATTTTGGAGATTTAAGGTTGGGCGCTTTGGGATTGTGCTGTTTGTTGTTTTGCAGGGTTCCCTATCATGGGTTCGATGGTTTTCGATTGTGATGGTCTAAGACATCCTTCTTCCCCGAGTTGTCCGTGCCTTACACTTGTCGCACCTCGAAAACTTGGATTAGTTAAGGGTTTCGTGTTCAGGGTTTGTATCCCCTCAAATCGAATGACACCCAAAAGCCTAAACCCTAAACAAGAGTGAGCTGGGCGTTCTTGCTTCTGCAGTTCGAAAGGCCCACCGCACTTAAAAAAAAAAAAAAACAAACTCCTAGGCTTAAGCTTCGGGTTCAAGGATCTTCGATTTCGGGGTTAGGGCCAGCCTCATGGTGTGTAAGTTTCAAACCGGTCCGAAGGACCCCTAATACAGGGG